CGGCGGCGGCGGCCGCGGCGGCGGCGGCAAGTGCACGGGGCCCGCCCGCCCCGCTCCGCAGGGGCAGGGGGGAGGGGACGAAGTCGCCCGCCGCCATTTTGCTTGTGGGCTGCCGCCCGCCGTTGCCACTCCGCCGAGGCGCGAAGACTAACAAACTGGAGGCAAGGCAGGTGGACAGGCTCCGTCTTTTTCACAACAGGTGCACTCAACAATTCACCGAAGGTTGGGGGGGCGCGGGACTCGGTGGGGTCGGCCCTCAAGCCTGATGGCGAGGAGCGCGGGCCTGCTACTGCCCGGTGCAAGGCGGGCGACAGTGGGGCCTGGGCGCGACCCCCGACCGTCGCCCCCAGAAAGCGCTGCCCTTCCACCCCTAGTTGACCTCCGCTGGGCCGGCCCCCGCCCCCACCGGGCCTTCAGCGCCGGGCGAGCCCGGCCCGGCGTCGCTCGACGCCCACTGGGGGGCCGGGGCGGCTCCAGTGCGCAGGCTCCGGGCCCCGGATAAAAGCAGAGCAGGCGAGCACGGCGCCGTCTCGATGGAGGAGCGAGAAACGGAAGAGGTCAGGGGGAGAAGCAGCGGGGGAAATGCAGCCATCGTCCGCGCCGCCTCCCTGCCACCGTGTTTCGCGGTAAACGCTGCCGTTGCCGTCGGTGCAGTTGCCGTCGCTGCCTCCTATACCTCTCTTGGCCCCGGGGAAGGAGCTCCCCTCCGCGGGACAGTGTTTGGGGAGGGAAGCGGGAATTCCTTTATGTGGTTGTGATTAAACGAGGGAGGGGCAGAGAGACGGTTATCTGGAAGGAAAAATAGGGATTTTAGGCCACAGAATAAAACAAGGCTTGTTTCCCCACTATAGTGACATGGCAATTCCGGGTCGCTCCCCGAAATGGCGGTTTCCGTCTTCTTGCCCCTCAGCGACCCCGGGGCGCTTAGTAAGCGAAGTGGGGAGAGGCAGAGGCGGTCGCGGCAGCCAATGGGCGCCCGAGGTAGTCTGTCGGGCACATCGTGATTGGCCAGCGATGACCTCATGCTGCAGCAGAGGGTGGGGCCAAAGCCGTCAGGGGAGGCTGTTGCAAAGGCAGAGAGGGAGAAGTGACGATGGTGATCGTTGCTGCCGCGGCCGGTATGGAACAGTGGCGATGGGAATCGCAAGGCTCTTCCCTCACCATTTCCTCCTGTCCCTGCGCGAGGTGAGGGCCCTGGCTCGGCCTCTGCAAGACTTTGGGGCGCTGGCGCGGACGAGGAGACGCGATGGCTCCTGTGACTTTTGTAACTGCGTCAGGGCAAGATGGCGCTGGGTCTCCTTGGGGCGCGGGGGGAGCGGCACGTCCGCCGCCGCCGCAGCGCATGTGACCGGCTGCATTCCTCTGGGGTTTGGCTGCGGACCAGGGAGGGCGGGGCGGGGCGGAGGCGGCCTTGGTGCGGTCGCGGCCCGAAGAGAAAGAGCTGACTGGCGAGAGCCCTATCCCCGCGGGGGAGAGCCCGTCAGGGTTGGGCGGCTGTGTGTGCAGGAGGGGTTGGCGCCCCGTTTCCTGTCGGCCTCCTTGCAAAGTGCGCTTACGTAAGGCGGCAGGCCCCCAGTGTGTCCCCGGGCCACCCGGTGCCTGCGAGGAGAGGCTGGCCCCGGGGCGCGCTGCGGCGAGGGAGGACTGTTTTCAGGGAAACCTGACCTTTCTTACATCCGAATAGAAAAATAGCATATTCCCAAAGCTTGGAGGCAAGTGTGAAAGTGACCCCCGGGAACACTGTTTAATTTCCTAAAAGACCCGAGGACCCTTTTGTATTTCCTTGTGCCTTTTGTACTTTACGTATTTCCTGTGAGAAGATGCAACCTTATAGGTGGGATTTGCCTTTTAAAATACCAGCCATCATTGCTAATACAGAATAAAAGCTGCTAGTGTTTTCGTCTACGAGAAATTGTAAGGTCGTTTTCAGTACTTTAATAAGTCTGTTGCTTTTCTGTGGCTTACTGCGGTTTTTAAAAATAAAACGTGGAATTATAAGAACTTTCAGTAAATATTCACTAAGGTTCCTGAGCCATTATAAAGTAGACCTTTCAATTTTGAAACTTCATTGGTGATTTTGTGATTTCCATTTGTCCGTTTTAGTTCATAATAGCCAAAAACCAGGGAAGATTTAAAGACCTCCTTTGAATAATGTGGAAAAAGTTATTCAACAGAACTTTTCAGCTAACATCAGTCTGATTTCTGACAAAAGAGATTTGTCATTTATTTGGTTGCTTGCTTTTGTTTTTTTCAGACGGGATGTTACGTAGTTTGGGTAGGCCTTAAGCTCACTTATGTAAACCAGGGCTGGCTTCCACACTTAGTGATCCTGTGCCTCAACCTTTTGAATGTCTGCTGGGATCACAGTCATGCGCCACCACACCTAGCTTGGGAAAATACGCTGTTTGATGCTAGGAAGACATACCCATTGGACCTAAAAAAAAAAGATGGCGTTAATCTGGAGCCAAGACTGTAATGTTTACTTTAGGTTTAGTTGTAAGGCCCTGGTAGTTTGCTAAGATTGTATTTTTAATTTGTATATCATTAAATTACTACTAGTTGTGGATTTTCTTTTCAGTCACTAAGTAACTAGTTGGGAAGCCAGTAATTGACCTGAAAATATTTAGTATGAAGAATTTGAACATTCAAAACTTTTTTTCTCTTGTTCACTCAGACTATTAAAATGGATGTAATTTTTAAGAACTGTGGAGTGACTTAGGCCAGGGAGATGGCTCAGTGGAATAAACAATAAACGCAGGGACCTGAGTCAATCCCCAGTATGGGGGGGTGGTGACTGGAGTGATTTACGGGCTACTTTGTTACATATATGTTTGTTCTTCGCGCCTCCCCCCCCAATAAGTCATGTAGAGGAAGGATTAAGTGCAAAATTAGAAGAGTATAAAGCAGTTTTCACAATGCTTGTAGTTTCCCTTCGCCTAAATAGGGAAGAGGCCATTTTCTAGACTTTGTTTCTTATTAGATCATGTTTTTAATCAGCATGTATCCTCATTGTTCCTAGTTGGCAAATCCGTGAGCTTCATACACTCTTTGAGCTAGTACTCCTTTCTTTTCTTCTTGCTTCTTGTGTTTTCCGTGGGCAGTATTAAGTGTACCTGTTATTTTCCTATGTGTGTCTGTGTGTCTCAGAACCGGGAATTGAACTCAGGCCCTTGTGCTTGCCAGGGAAGCGCTTATTCTAATACTGAGCCATCTCCCGGGCCACCTAACTGACAGTCTGTAGGTATTTGAGTGTACATGTTTCTTGTTAAGATTAAACAATTTTAAAAAATCTCTTACTCATGCCTAAAATCCCAGCACTTTTCTTGGAGGCTAAAGCAAGAGGATTGCAAATTCCAGCCCAGCCTGGGCAGTTTAGACCCTGCCTCAAAAATAAATAAAAGGTTAGGAATATAGTTGAGTAATAAGGCCCTAGGTTCAATCCCCAGTGCTGCAAAAGAGCTCTGTTGGCTACCAGGCTTTGGATAACAAAAGAAAAGATCATTCAGGGGCAAGTTAGATTGGGGACAGCTGATGGGCCATTGAGTTCTGCAAAAAAAAAAAAGAAAGAAAGAAAGAAAAAGAAAACCAAAAACTGGACTTTTTAAAAATATCCATGCCTCAGGTCTAGAGTACAGTATAGAAAAACTGGGGATTAAATGGGGCTGTGGCTCCTTAATGGCTTCAAGGTTCATTAGGGTGTATATGTAGCACTCCTTCCTTTATATTGGAGAGCACAACTTCTGTAACTTCAAGTTTAGTTAGGTCACTTTATGAATATGACTGGGCCAGTCTCATAGCTACATGTTTTATATATCATCAGATAGGCATCCCAGTGTTTTACTAATGTATATGATATAAAACAAATAAAACTCCTTACATTGATTAACCAATGTCTGCTCTTAGGCCTTGATATCTTTTTAATAATCTTGTGTATTTATCATTTGACATATTTGCTGAAACTTGAATTAAGACATTCTGACTTGATGTGTGACTCCGGTGGATTTAGGTGTTTTGTGTTTTTTTGTTTGTTTGTTTTTGTTTTTGTTTTGAGCAGAATATATTTATTGAGAGAAAGCAAGCTCCTGTCCTGAGAGAGGGCCAGGAGGCGGGGGCCCGAGCGGGTACTTCCCCCCCGGATTTAGTTTTTAAATGAATTTTTTTTTCTGTCCTGCCTATGAAACGTAGTGTCTTGTAATTTCAGTAGCATTCATATCTGAGAATGTTTTAAATTGAAATCAGTAAGTTCACATAAAATATTGTTAAATGTAGATAACCTGATTAGCTTAACTTTAGTGAAATATATTAAATGTTATCCAGCTTTTGCTGGGCAAGAAAGATGTTAGGGTAACCAAAATCATGAAGTCCGTACATACAGGTAAGTGTTCATAATACTAAATAATTCAAGAATTGTAGATAACCTTGAATGAACTTATTTTTCTTAAGAGAGAGAATGAATTTGTTTAATTGAAGTTTAGAACTCTTTCAGTGTGGAATTTCATCTGGAAATGAGAGAAACTAATAACATACCGCTCCTACCTACATAAGGCAAAAGAAAGGCAGGCAAAACTTGAGACCCTACAGTTTTCTGAAGAGATTTTAGATGAACTGAACTAATGTCTTGCTATTCTAACTTGAGAGTTTGATGTTTCTAAACAAAATGTATTGTTAAGTTAACCACAGATACAGTAAAAAGGTTCTTCAGTGTCCTGTGGAAAACTAGCCACTGTACAAACAGCCAGTGAAGAAGGGCTTAAGATCTTTTGGAGGTTATTTCTTGGAGAGGTGAATATAGCTCAAACAGAATTCCTCAGTTTACCAATTTCAAGTGTTTGTCTTTATTTAGAGAACATTGGTTGTATTC